AAATGAAGATAAAAAGCAAGAAATACTTTGTGAAGGAGCTGGAACAATATAATATATAGATTAGTGGAGTCAGTGAGGTGAGGATGAAGCTGATTGAAGGTTATCATCCCAGGTACACAAGACAGGGTGGCAGCCTTTGACTGAGACCTCTTGTTCCCAGGAAGAGTCAGATGTTGCTGAAGCAACAAGAAAATTCTGGCTAAAGTAAAGAGGATTCTACCTGAGCAAAGTTCAGATGCTGCTGCGTGATTCAGCATTTCATTTCTACAGAAAAGAATGGCATACCTTTCATGTAAAACACTGAGCTAGGGAGCCAGTGTAATCAATTCAAGTGGACAATATCTTGCTACATATTTAACATTGGATTGTGGGATTTTAGTCATCCATTAAATTTACATTGCAATTTTGAGGATGATATAAAAAAATTACTTATCTGGCCAACAATAGAGTTCTTACACAGATGTGGGAAAATGAGTTAAAATCTACTCTGGCCCATTTGTTATCAAGGGAATGGCTTGGTGTGTTTTAAAGTCTTTGGTACTGAAGATGGTGCAAAGACCAGAAAATAATTTAAACCATATTCTGAGCTGACAAATTTCCTTATGAAGAAGAAAATGCTTTTCTTGTAAACTGGTAAAAACTGGTGAAGTGACAAGCCAATAAAGCAATAATAAATGTGCCATTCACACTATTACTTAATTGTTCATTTTTCGACACAAGATACTTCTATACTTTTGTGTACGTGTATATATTTATATATTTCAGCATATAATAAACTTCCAATATACTATGCATATTACTACAATAATTTTGTTGTCTATGTCATATTCCTTTAAAAATTAAATTAAAGGAATTATCCTATGAATTCTAGAAAATTAAGAAAGGCTGTGGGAGATGAAAGGAATTTCAGTGAAGTGAGAAGGTGCTAAAAACCCACTATGTTCCAGTCAGATATCTAACCTTTAATGGGCATACTAATATCTTGGATATTAGCAATGGATGGTCTCCATGACCTCAGAGGAGGGGAAGGTTTACTCATGACTCCAGAACTTTTACAACATATTGATTACTCTTGCCTTCCTTTTTTCGTTTAGGGGAGATCTTCTCTGCAGTTCATTCAGTGCTGCTGGTTGTGATCAGTAAATTTGTTTCCTTTCATCTACACACCTCCCTGAGACTTAGGCATGTTTGTTTGCAAGTTGTCTGGCTAAAAGTGAACTCAGAGGGAAGAAAGTCCTTTGAGTTGTCTGTCCTCTCCCTGGGGAGAGGATTTCTTATCAGAGATAATGAGCATGGTTTTGAAAAGGTGGGCATCATTTGCTGTCAGTTTGAGTGTTGGACTTCACTCTTCCATGTCATGGTGATGCTGACATTGCAGAGCTAGGTATTGCACTCTTTTCACCCACTCCAGGCAGTTCCCAGCTTCCTGTGTCCTTAATGCATATTCCTCAGTCATAAAGTGAAAATATTCTTTGTATTTAACCCATTTATACCAGAAAGAGGAATGTCAGCTGGGACAGCTTTCAGTGTTTAGCAAGCCAGCAGGTTGTCCATTTCAGTGGTCTTTGTGAGTGGAAGCAGGAACCTGAGCAACTTCATTCTGATGTGGTGAGAGCCTCAGCTGCCCTCGGTTACTGCACCCTCTAAATTACAGTTTGCAGGAGAAGGAAAAAGTAGATCCCTGAATTGCCAGCACAAAGTCGTGCTGTATGCTTTCCTTCTCCTTTTAACTGCCCTGCTCTTTGATAGTGACTTCTAGAATTTTCTCAAGACACAATAACTTATGGGTGTATCTTTTAATGATGACTGGATCCTACCCTTAGATCTTCAATTTCTAAGTTAAGGTTTTATAGCCTTTAAAGATATTGTGATTTAATTCAGATTATAGATAGTCCAAGTGCTTGCAATGGTCTAAGCTGTCCTCTGTAGTTATTTATGATTTTATGTCCTTTTTTTCAGGAAATGAACAACACAGTGTGAAAACAAATGGTGTAAGGGGACTGGTGATAGGACATTTAAGTGAAGCATGGACATTTCAATTGAAGTACAGCATGTTAGTCAAATGTTGCCCACTGGGCTGACTAGCAGTAGCAGGATTAATTCTGTGGCTTGTGCTATTCAGGAAATCATAGTGCAAAAACAAATGGCCTTTCCTCTCTGTAGTGTGGAAATATCTAAATGTACCAGTCCTTGGGTATTCACTTTGCCTTAAGTTGTGGAATGACAAAGAGTTGTGTACATGCTTTCATGGTGCATCCATTTTCTTAAGTTCTTGGCAGGATGACAGGAACAGTGATTGCAGGGAGGAAACTGGTTGTTTTGTTAGTTCATGATTTTGGTGTGTTTTTGAGGGTTTTTTTTAACAGTCATGATGGCTTTAGGATGAAAATTTCTTGAGGCTTTGGTTGCACTTAGCCCGTGGGTTTTTTTGTTTGTTTTTTTTTTAAATAAACAAAGTGTGAATGACTAGACCTTCAAATAAAGGCTCTAAAAGTCCTGCAATATCTGGATGCCTGTCACTTCTGCCAAGATTATCCAGTGAAAAGTGGTACTGTAAACTGTCATACTAGTGCAGAATCTTAGTTTTTCTCTCTGTCTGTTCCTCTCATACTCCAGCTGGGTTTGTTTGCATACCTGTCACATACTTGTGTTTTTCATTTTCACAATCCATGCAAACCTTAAATAATAGATATATTCTCTCTTCAGATATCTTTGGTATCTTCAGAAGATGCCTTCTCCCAACACACCTCAACCCCATACCTCTGGTTTATGAATGCCTTTTCAATATGTCTACTCCATGCTATATTTGTTTTATTTTCTTCCTTTTTGCTAACCAGTTCACAAGACTGCACTGTTGCAACTGAATAAGGAGTAGGACTTTTAGCAGGATTCTGTATTACTTGAAAATATAAGAAGTTGGGGTTTTTTTGCTACAATTTTCTTCCACTTGCAGTGCTCTGTCAGTCTCTGCCACAGAACTCTGCAGTTCTGTGCACTTCATCACTTGAGCTGGGTACTGTACTGCATGGGAAGAACATGTGTGATACTAACAAAGAAGGGTTTACAATGGAAAGAAGACACATTTAGAATGCTATTGCACCATTTCAATTCCTAGTCAAAGGAACTCTGTATTTCCTAAATTCTTACCTTTTATGTTGGTAGCAATCATCAAAACCAAAACAAACAAGTTCACATATGGTGAGATATATATATATATATATACAAAGAAACTATACAGTAGCTGCTTGGTTTCTAGAGGACTGATCTAGGCTAATATTTGAGCTTCAGTCCCATTGCTTAGAAGAAAAACAACATAAATGTGGACCCTGGTCCTTTATCAACCCACCTTAAGTTCACTGTGGTTCCAGGTTAGTATAGCTGAATTTTGCCATGGCCTCTCTTGGGGAAGGAGGGGAGCATTTTAGTACAGATTGTCTGGTAGGGAACTGATGGGTGTTGGTGAGTCTTACTAGTAGTATTTTTTTCAGAGAATTGATCCACCCTTTTAACTCACAGTCATCACCAGTCAAACAAAAGCACTTTGTTTCTAAAGTGGAATCAATAAAAGGGAAAATATATTACGGCATTATGGCTTAACTGGGAACACATGCTTTTTACCTTTTGCTATTTTGTTTTCTGTTTAAGGATAGGTTTCCCTACCATTCATATTCTCTTGGTTGTACATTTGGTCTGTGTGATCTGTAATCTGCACAGAAAATACATGCTGTCAGCAGTATAAGGAGAGGTTTTTTTTGTTTCAGTGTTTGCTGCTAGTATAATGTGTTATATTGATCCACTCTGGCCTCTGAAGAATTTTCCAGGTGGTGATGAGAAAGCTGGTATATCTCTTCAAGACTTTAATTTTCATGCAAAACAATATTCAACAGAATCATAAAGCCCTAGACCTGGTAATAAAAATGGAAGCTGATGTTATTAATACATCATTCCAGATACACAGAGCACCATTATGTGGCTCCTGGGTTGAGTAAAATTTCATGTAATCACAGAAGCCATAGACTTAAGCTCTGTAAAGTTGGAAACTTAACCAGATGGCCATTGTCAAAACAGCTTCTAAAGACTTCAGAGCTGCAATGTCTTAGGGCCCTAGATATGACTTAGTGTTAGCTTTTTAAAATACAATTACTGAACATAACTGCTCTACATTATGGAAGTAATAATAATAATAATACTTTGCACTCAGTGACCTCTGATTTAAGGACCCAAAAGCTCTTAACCAAACCTTTTGAATACTCCCTTTCTGCTTATAGGAAATAAAGTGTTCAGAGTCTGGAACACCTGTGTGAGAGAATTGAGCAGGAGCAGTCCAACTCCATGGCATATTGCAAGCAGTCAGATGGTGTTTTCTGTGTGACTGGGACTAGGGAGTGCTCCTGTGGCTGTCTGTCCCTGACAGCTGGGAGGTGATGTCCTAGTCACTTGAGGCAGAACTTCCTATACGGTGGTACTTTCAATCTTCATCAGGGCCAGCCTTTGAGTGGTTTTGCTTGTACATTGAAGTGCTGTGTGGCAGGAATGAGAATGACACATAAATGGCCCAACCTGATATTTGCTTTATTTGCTCTGTGAACTGAGTATAATAATGAAATGATGTAAAGAACTGGGGATTCTGTGGCTCGGATGTACACTTACCCAGGGAGCTTATGTGTAGTGTGATACATCCTAGACTCTATATATTCGGGACAGACAGGTAAGTACCTTTGAAGACTGGCCTGTATTTTAGGGAGAAGGGTTATGTCCTTTTAAAAGTGCCACATGCTGGCCATGGATTTATGGTGCTTTAATACTCAGCTTGAAAATCACATAATGGTGTTTATCAGTAATGGGAGTAAATAACTGTGTTTGACATTTGCTTTTCTACAGTCGGTAGTTATTTTTTCTTTTTTTTTTTTTTTCATCAAACTGATTTTATTGTGGTTTTTCAGAGTCCAAAGATCATTCCTGAGAGTTTTCATGGTGAGTCTTTTTGTTCTGTCTTTTAGGTCGATGTGATTGTGACTTTGGGCGGATTGGGAGGACGCTTTGACCAAACAATGGCATCGGTGGAAACACTTTTTCATGCAACAAATATCACTCCTTCTCCGGTGATAGTTATCCAGGAGTGCTCACTGATTTACCTGCTTCAATCTGTAAGTGTTGTAAGAAGTTACTTTGTAATAAAACTGACCTTCCACCCACTCTGACACCGTAGGTCTTGCACCATTAAATGCTCACTTTATCAGTTGTGTTCTGTAGAGTAAGAGCTGAAATAAAAAATACATTGCAGGGATATGGACAGAAAACGATGGGCTCTCAATTCCTCCTTTGGAAAAGGTTATGTTTAATTTGTTCATGATAGATTTGTTTAAAAGGGGAGAAACAAGAAAACCAGAAAATATGAAAACTGAATTAGGTAAATATGGAATATTGATTATAAACGGAAAAAAAAAATTAACCTTTTAAATTAGATTCCAGTAAGTCTAAAATTAGCACACACCCCTTTTGCTTGCTGAGTAGCAATGTAGATGTCTCTAATAAGAGGAACAAAGAAAAGATGTAAGAGGATGTTCTGAGGGAGTTCCTGACATACACATCAGGCAGAGCTCTTATGCGGTCCAAATGGTGCAGTTCATTATGATGGGAATCCATCTAGCATCAACAAGGGAATTTATTTAAGATGTGTTATTTCTGTGGTTTTTCAGATCTGTTATTGCATTTATTGATTCATAAAACAACACACACAAAATATCTTGCTGATCTTCTGCTTCTGAGATTTAAATTAAAGGCAAATCTAAACATCAAACACTGTTCTCTAACAATGATTAATTTATTTTTTGGAAAATATGTTTTCCCCTTGGCAAGGTTTCTAAAAGCTTATCTAACTTTCCCAATTTCTCTTGGAAAGCTTATTCTATTAAAATAAATAACATTCACAGGTAAATTTGACACAACCTTGCACCAGATGTGCTTCAGTGTAATTTGAGAAAAGCATTAATGAAGTTCTATGAGATTATAGATTTAAAGCCACAGGGGCAGGTGCTCTATTAACAATTTGAAGCTCTGTGTCTGCAGGAAAGGTAGTAGGCACAGGAGCTCTTTTGCCAGTATGATGAGGAATTACTCTGATCACTAGTTGCACAGCTGAATAGATGGAGGCAGCAGAGTGAGGGGGAAAGAGAAATAAAGGATAACTGTGGTTAAAATCTAAAAGTGGGGAGTAACTCGCTTGTAAATGATCTGTGAGTGCAGTACTTCACTGACCACTGTAAGTTTCCTTCAGGGTATTTTTAAGAACGTGTTAAAGAGCTGAGATAAACTGGACAATTTCCAGTTTAATTTACAAAACTCTTGCTAAGGCTGGAAAGATTTCTAATTATTTTTATTCATCTTTTCCATAAGCGGCTTTAAAATGCCATGCCTAAGGTTGCTTTCCTGAGTCTTCCATGAATAATTAAACCCTTTGCAACTTGAAAAAAAAATCATGATCTTTGCATTTTAAATAGAAATGGGAGGTTGCTAATTATTTTGTTTGCTGGAAATTTCTTTATTCTATTTCTAATAATGCCATACAAAAAGCATTTAATATTTTTTTTGTAGATGGGCAGAGTTCCACAGGAAATTTCAGGCTGTTTCTAGCATACAGAAATAAGGGGCAGATATAGGGGCAGGCCATTTAAACAATCTTAGTGCTCACTTTGACACAAAATTGCTTTTCATTGTTGATTTAAACTTGCCACTGTTGGCATCTTCAGTCAACTGTTGTGGTACCTCAAGATAATAATAATAATCCTGCATAGTTGTTTTTCTTTTGAAAAGTGAATAGTTTATAAACTGAGAGAAATAAGGATCCTAAGCTTAGAAGTACTCTCTCTCTCTCTCTCTTTCTTTTTTTTCTTTTTTTTTTTTTTTTTTAATGGAGTTCAGCTTGATATTTTTCTCTGTCAAACAGCCACAATCATGACATTCTCTCTTTTCCTCCTCTTCCCTTTGTAATTTAAAATCAAGGTAGGAGGGAGTTTAACACAGTGGGAGACCCACTGACTGTTCGAAATGCAAGTCTGGAAACTGTGCAATAAATGAAGCAAGGTTTTGAGATTCAAATGCTGATGCAAATGATAAAGTTGAGAGCATGTTGCTTTTTCTATAAGTGTAGAATGGAAACCTTTCTCTCTTGGGAAGAAGAATCTGATCTTTATTGGATTCTTTGGATAAAATATGTGAGCAAAATATAATTATGGTTTTGCTTCCAAATAATGTTAGCCTTTGGTTTAGTGTAGCAGGAGAGTGGTTCTCTGTCATGTCTACCTAGGCAGAGTCTAAAGTACTTGGATACAGCAGATAAACTGGTAATTCCTTAAGACCCCTACAAAGGATAACAAGGGGAGTAACAAGTCAAGCTGCTAAATTTATAGTTACCAGTGCAGAAACTAAAACAAGGCTGGTGTGAGTAGATATCTAAGGCCACCAAAAATCTATGAATTTTTTGAGAGAGATTTCACATTGTTACAATGTTGGTATAGAAGGTTATGGTAGAAGAAATACATCAATATTTAATACACTTGTAAAGAGTCCACAGCATTGCAGGGAACATTATGGACTTGCTAAAAGTCTTCAGGATTGTAAGACAGCAAGGACAATGCCTGATTTGGGATCCTGTGCAGACTATCAGGCAAGGTGGACCAGGTAAACAAAGCCTTTTTTTGATCAGCCAATAACATTATAATTTCATACTTACATACTTATCCAAGTACTGAATGTAAGAGTAATTAGAACTTTGAGTACTGAGGCATCTCCTGGGAAATAGACTGACAGACAGTGCAAGGTGTTTGAAATATATTGATAAAAATGTTTTGGCATGGAAAGTGAAGAAAACTACAAGGAAGTAAACTCTCTTATGTTCATTTCTGACCTTTAAGGATGACCTCCTGCAAGGAATGAGAAAACACGTGGCAATAATTACATCCCATAAACACCTGTCTCCATAATCTCTATGGAGAAAATGGGTGGGAGGCTGAAATGTAGATATATAGACTGTAGGTATGTAAATGTAGATAAATTAATTCCAATAAATGTCAAACTACTAAAAACATATTTAAGAAAAGAAAGCAGTTGTGAAATTATTTGCATCTATTGAAGGGCCCAAACAATGAGAATATAGTTTGTAGCTACAGAATTTATAAATTGACAGTGAAAGATTTTCTCTTGTCTGAATGGGAAAGGAAAACTAATGACAAGCAGCCTAAATGAGCACGTTTTCTCAGTCTTCACTAAAGCAAAATATTCCTTTGAGCAGATAACCAACACAGTTAAAATTGGTGCCAAAGTCTGAAGAATTTGAATTGCTTCAGAGAAAAAGCAAATAAAAGATTGAGCTGCCTTTGATTCTGCCAACTCCAAGGGCTGTTACTTTTTGTGTGCCATGCAACACTAATTAGGAGAGGAAGCAGAAACAGGGAGACTTTGTAAGAATTCTAGGATGTGATAGTTGTTGTGAAGCATTTTTTTACGTGATGATTGGAGTTTGAAAAAAAAGAAAAAAGAAAAAAAATGTACCTGTGTACTGAATAGATGTCATATTTCATTCTGTAGTGGGGGAGGGAGGAAAGCTTGAATTTTTAATAAGGAGTAATCAGTCTTTATAAGCAGGATATTTTATGCAAGAGTTCATACATTTTATGTTTGAAATTTGGTAACATCAATTACCATTAGACTATACCCTGGCTGAAGAGCATAAGGCCCTTAGAGTCATGTTTATCATGCTGGCCATGCTCAATATGAATGGCTTAAGGTTTCACATACATACTTTCTCATTTTCTGGTTGTGTGCTTCTCAGGAGTACAGAAACATTAGCTTCTGTACACTGAGCATAAATTATCTTTTATCTGTGAGTTTTATGGCAGTTTGTAATACAAGGTAATAGGATTTATGACCAAGAAATGAGAAGATGTCCAAGAGTTAATGAGGCCTGTCTTTTACATATACTGAGCAGTTGAGCTTTCCCTACACAGGATTCCAGCCCTAGGATGCTGAGAAGAATTGCTGCCTACACATGAAAATGCATTACAGCAGCATATTTTTGTCAGTTAACTAACTCTTTTGAAAGAGTGTGTGAATACTTTGATAACCCTTTTTCTTGCACCCAGCTTTTCCTGCGAGTGCAAGCCTGCCTTCCCTGTAAGAAATGATGAATAATTTAACATCGTAGGTAGTGGCCCAGCAGCTAAATGTGAGCAGTAAGATTCAGGAATCCCATCCCTTATTCTTGGCTCTTACCACCATTTCCTTGAAGAGAAGTGTATTGGGTCGTCTTTTGATCCAGCAGTCTCCTAGATTGTAAATTGGGTTAAACCCATGTTGTTCTCTGAATGGGTATTGTGAGGCTCGTTTGGTTATTTACAAAATACTGTTACATCCTCTGCTCTGCACTGGGGTGGAACATTGTATCATAGTAACAGTAACAACAGCATTAGCAAGGCCCTTAATTAACATAAACGTTGCCATACAGGAAGCTGTGCAGATAATTAGTTTGCATGGTCCCAAGCGCAGTTTCAGTGGGAGCCAGCCATCCTTCTCACAGATGGCATCTGGGCACGCTTCGGGTTTAGCACAGGCCAGGAGCTGCTTGCAAAGCCTTTGGAAGGGACCACCTTGTCATGGGGCCAAGAGAGAACAGCCACATGCACATGGGCACTGCTGTGCTGGTTGCTTGAGTTCCAGAGCTATTACCTGAATCGATTTACAGATGCAGACAGAGTGACTTGGCATGAAAATCTACTCCTAGATGGAGACACTGCAGCAGATGTGAGAGAAGATGCAAAGACCAGAAACTTTGCAGGGGTTTGTTGCTCCAATTCTCTGTGCCAATGTTATTTGATTTGGTCTGTATCTGTGCTTGTAAAGTTTAAGGGGAAGCTCAGGGTATATATCTTCTACTTGTGAGTTTTTCACTGGCAGCCAGTTCTTGAAATTTGCAGGAACCTCAAGAATGAATTTTCTGATCAGTTCTGTACCACCTCATATGTGTATGAAGCAGATCTGACTTGCACTCAGTGGAGAAAATCCTAATTAATGTGCCTCCTATGGGGTATAATTTTGTGATCTGGAAATTTAATGTCTCCTTTTCCTTGGTAAGTATTTTTGATGGGTAAAT